CATCATGTCGTCGAACTTGTCTAAGTATTTGGCTAGCATTCTGATTCCTGTTCACCATGACTACTCTTGGTTCTTCCTCCATATGGGCTGGTACCTGGTTCCTTTGTGGTTCGACTCTGAAAGGTTCGCCCATTTTATGATCCTCCATATTCGCCTCATGAACGTTCTGTTGCTGATACCGTGGGACGTTCTCGACAACTGTTGCTCTTTGCTCAAATGCTGGTACTCCCATGAAATCAGCCATACGGGCTAATTGTGTCGCCACCTGCTGGTTGGTTTGAGTAGTATTTTAAATTAGGGGTTGAAAGATTTCTCCCATCGTTTGAGACAACGTGTGCACCATTTGCATATTACTTTCATCCATTTGTTGTCTTAAGCAGTTTATAAATGTAGTTGTAAGACTAGGTGCTTGCCAAGAGTAACCAACACCTATGCTCTGGTTGTTTCGACCACCTGATCCAGATCCTTGTCCTGGCGAAGAAACCATGTTTTCTGAAAATATGGGTGGAGCATTATGCAAATTCTGCATTATTGACGTAGGCATACCAAATGGTTGGTTCCTTGATAATGGTTGTGAGAAACCTGGAGGAGGAACTTGCCTGTATATGGAACTTCCTGGGGGTGTTGGCGAATTAAGACTCTGGGGTCCTACATATTCCAACACAGGTAGAATGTATGTTCGTACACATGTTGATCTTGGGTTGACCATGAACTGCACTTGTTCAGACACCATTACCGGTGGTGACGCCTGTCCTCCCGTCGAAGAAACTGGATATGGAGTATTCTGAGACCCCATGCTCGACTGAGCATTTAAAATGCTTCCCTGAGGATCAACTTGTTTATTAGCATTTGTTGCCATTCTTTTAGTGTATCTTCTTTTTGGTACTCCTTCGTGCGTTGTGGCTAACTTTCCACTCCTTAATAACATACAACGAAGTATTCGCCCAAAAAAGATTAATGTAAACTTTGAAATGCTTAGCATTGGGTCCCACCGGGTGTGCCAATTTGTTTACTGTGAATTTTGGTAAACAACCGCTGGTCAATCAATTTAGGGTAAAATTGACTAACTTGCAGGATCGACCATACTAAATCCTAGAACATGTGCTAAGTATGCAAAAAAGACCCTAAGTTGGACTCCACGTTCGACTGTGAAGCCTTTTGAAAAATAAGATGACTTGAAGATTAAAAGAAAGCATGTAATGCGTCGAAGACTAAAGTAAAATATAAAAGTGTAGTAATGTAAAAGCTTTTGAAAGTAAATGCTGCAAAGTAAAGGACGAGAAATTGCAATCAAACTCCGCGTTCGACTATAACGTCTTTGTAAAGTAAATGGCGTTGAAGATAAAGGTGTAAGAAAGTAAAGTGATTTGAAAATAAATGTGCAAAAGAGTCTATTCTGAACTCCACGTTCGACTAGAGATCTTTGGAAGTTAAATTGCAAGAAGATAATAGGTTTGAAAATAAATGGGCGAAGGGTTAAAAGTGAAAAAAAGTTAAATGGCATAAAAATAACTCTAATCTGAACTCCACGTTCGACTAGGGGATCTTTGAAAGTAAAAACGTAGGAAAAACTTGTAAAACGGCTTAAATGTAAAAGCTGAAAGTTAAAGTGCAGAAGGAGTAAAGGTGCATAAAGGGTAAAGGCAAGTAAATTGCATGAATGGAAAATGGTTGGTGTTGTATCACATACATTCTCGCTAACTCGTTTCTCTACACGCGGGTACTTTGAGTTGTTTGGAGTGACTAGTATAAAATGAATGAACACCCTTATTACATAAAAATGACAACTATTTATAGTACTAGAGATTAACTACTAAATGACGGCTGAGGCTTCACAATGTGTCTCTTTTGGCGCTTTTTCACTATCTCAACCGTTCCCACGTTCATCCACTCTTGGTTTGAATTTTGAACACTTAATAGTTCCCTCCAATTTTGGTTGTACCTCCTACAGGTTCTCTTCAACGCGACCCTTGTCGAGCACTTTTCAACACTTAACATTTTAGTAGCTTTGTCCACCTCTCTTCGACTTGGATTGCTCTCTGATTGTGTCAAAACGTTCACATGTTTCAAATTGACATTTTGACTTGAGATGATTCTAAAATCAACTAGCGTCGAAAATTGAGAGCTAACACTATCATGATGCATTTTTACCTATAGTACTTTGCTTTTAATTTTATTGTCTTTCTTCTTTTTGATAATTTCAAAAGGGGGATAAGAGGTATGGTTGTTTTTATTCATTTTATTTTAGGATACCAAAGCTTGAATTACAAAACAAAGGGGTAGATGCATAAGATATGAAGAGTACCAAATGTCAATAAAAAACTTTCCATCAATATATTTTGTCATTATAAAAAAGGGGATATTTGAAGAAGATATACATCCTCTACCAAATGTACTTTTGATGAAGACAACGATTGATGAAGACTATCATAAAAGAAAGAGATTAAAAATTCGCATGATGAATACTTGCAATTATGAAGCTTAAACAAGATCTTTAATCATGATTAAGATTGATGAAGACAATGGTAATCAAAGAAAAAATATTGATAGCCAAATGTTGATTTATGGTGAAGCTAATCAAGTTAAGAATCAAGCTAAATTATCAAGTTTAAAGGTTCATTACAATTCATGTTATATCACTTTAGATGCTCATAATATTTCATACATTTTCATCTTTAAAGTTTCTAATCCGTCATGCATCAAAACCATTCAAGCATTGCAATGAAAACGTTGTTTTTTCGCTTTCAACAAAGCTGTAATCTGTTACATGAAAGTGATAACCGGTTACCATTTGTTTATGTTTCATATTTTAAAAAAACAACACATTCTTAACTTATGGTATCTAAAACTGCCATAATCACACTTTTGGAACTGGCGTAATTTTCTTGCTTTTGTGCAATGATTACATGTTCATTTTATTTGAAAAATATGAACATTGCTAGAGTGGTAACCGGTTACCCCTTTTATGTAATTGGTTACACTCTATAAAAATGTGTATTTTCATGACCATTATCATTCTAAACCTTTGTAAACCTTCATGGAAATGTTACAAACTTTTCCATTTTATCTTAGAGGTTTTTCCGGGTGTATTTAAGGTAAGATACATAAGATTTTCAAACTAACTTTTTCATACAAACTTTTACATCAAGTTAAATCATTTTTCAAGTGTTCATACAACTTTAACAATGAAACTGTGTGCATAACTTTCATATCATTCAAAGAGTTTCATTCAAACATTCTAAGCATTTAAGTATATAAGTTTGAAATGTGATCAAGAGAAAGAGAAGAGAAAATTGTTCATCTTTGAAATCATTTCAAGAATGATTGTATATTAAATCATTTACAAGTGTATTGTAACTTAATCTTCAAGTTTGTGATGATAATTTGTTTGAAAAAGGTTCTTTAAATTGGATTGATTCAAAGTCCATCATAATATTTGGTGTTTATAAAAAGGTCATTTAAATTCAGTTGATTCGAAGTCCACTATAATGTTTAGTGTTTATAAAAAGGTCATTTAAATTCAGTTGATTCGAAGTCCACTATAATGTTTAGTGTTTTGTGAAAGATGTACTTTGAATTGTGCTGATTCAAAGTCCACCACAGTTTTGGTGTATGTGTATGCTTTAGAAGGTTGTAAAGAAGTCTTGGTGTGAGATTTGTACAAGGATCTAAATATAGTGGAAAATCCTTCAAAGTGTGAATTGTGAAGGAACTAGATGTACCATCGGTTGATAAGAAAAACTCGTATAATTACCAGTGTCATTTATTTTTCAGCACTTTAATTTTATGCATTTCATTATCCTAAGAACTTAACATATTCATAAATTTCGAAAAAATAAAAAGTTAAAAATTGTTGCTTAAAAACAAGTAAAATCAAGAAACCTTAATTCAATCGGCTCTTAGGTTGCATCTCATAGTTACACATCTGTCACGGGAGAAATTTAGATTTTGTAAAAAAAGAATGACACAACAATGAATTTGATGAGGAAATGATCAACAAAAACATAAATAGTAGATATATTGAGCTACAATACATTCTCCATATAAACATAAATAACTAGGATTGTTATCATTAAACATGACACAATTTCGCCAAAATATCAGAAGAAGGAGATTATTCAATGAAAATTAACCTTTAACATGTATTCATGCCAAATTTAACTATTACACATAGATTCAATTCAAAAGATATTTTCAAAACAACTTTATAAAAATGAATTCAATTCAAAGATATTTTCAAAACAACTCTATAAAAATGACTTTAATTCAAAAACATTTTCAAAACAACTTAAAAAAAATGAGTGGACCTGTTTACTAGAACTTGTTCATCTTCAATAGTCTTTTTAACACTAATTTTATATTCAAATCTCAACGAATTTTCTTAATTTTAGATGCAATATAATCCTTAGTTAACCTATTATTATTAAGATGTGTGAATTGATCAGATCCATGTTGAAAACATTCCTTGAGTTTAGAGAAAAACATTGATAACATCATGAAAAACCTTAATGAAGACCCTTGTGCATTAAAAACCAAAATTCTCCCAAACCAACAATGCATTCTTCAAGGTGAAACACTCATTGGAAAGCTGATGAAATATCCTAGAATTTGTGAAAACAATCATTTAAATCCATGAAACACAACTCAAGTTATGACCAAATGAATCTTGGTTAAAAGCACAACTAAAAGAACCAACACCTCCCAAATTACAACATTTCTTCAAATTCTCCACCAATCAATTAAGGAAAACCGTCGATAGCTTCTCCATCGAAGGGCTGGCGTTGAAAATAGATCAAGGCACCGATCCTTGTCAGGTTCTCTGAACCAATGAGAATTCAGTAATCGAATATTACCCAACACACAATTCACTATTTAAATCATCCATTTCTCGTCTAATTATCACGCACAAAAATATTTCAATTTCAACTACAACAGTTTCTTATCTTTCTCTGTAATTCAACTCCTTTTCAAAACTCTATTCCTAAACTCTTAATTTTGCCATGGCCACCGAAGAACCAATCGTCGCCGTTGAACCTGTTTCTGAACCAGCGACTGCCGAACCTCCGGTCTCGGAGAAAGTAGAAGAACCCAAGGCCGAAGCTGTGAAGACGAAGAAAGCCAAGGAATCGAAACCTAAGAAAGCTTCCAAACCAAAAAACCCTGCTTCCCATCCTACTTACGAAGAGGTTCCATTAAATTCTTCATTTGTTCAATTTTATTATTTTGTCATGAATTATAGTTTCAATTGGATCTGATTTTTGATTGGTTTGATTGAATCGCAGATGATTAAGGATGCAATAGTGTCGCTGAAGGAGAAAAATGGTTCGAGCCAATATGCAATAGCAAAATTCATAGAAGAGAAACAGAAACAGCTTCCTGCTAACTTCAAGAAGCTATTGCTCCAAAATTTGAAGAAGAAAGTTGCTTCTGGAAAACTTGTGAAGGTTAAAGGTTCATTCAAGCTTTCTGCAGCGGCTAAGAAGCCAGCCGTTGCCAAGCCGAAGACAAAGCCAGCTGCCAAGAAATCTGTGAAAGCTAAGCCAGTCACTAAGCCAAAGGCTAAAGCTGCTGGTAAGCCAAAGGTTGCTTCAAAGGCAAAATCTGTTACTACCAAGCCGAAAGCAGCTGCCGCCAAACCCAAAACTGCTGCCGTCAAGCCGAAAGCTGCTGCCAAGCCTAAAACTGTTGCTAAGACGAAAGCAGGTGTGAAACCGAAGCCCAAGGCAAATGCTGCAAAGGTTGCAAAGACATCAACGAAGACGACACCAGGAAAGAAAGTTACTGTTGCGAAGTCTGCGCCTAAGAAAGTAGCTGTTGCAAAGAAAGCTCAGGTGAAGAGTGTGAAATCCAAGACCGTGAAATCTCCGGCCAAGAAGGTTTCCGGTGTGAAGAGAGGAGGAAGGAAATGAGAGTTTTATTATCTTAATCTTAGGATTGTAAAAATCTTGTGCTCGTTTTTTCAAATTTAGTTTATATTAATATGTAGTAGTTTATAATGACATAAACGTTCTGGTTTTGGTTTTTATCCTTTATAATATAATCATTCATACTTATTTTAAGTTCAAATGATTTGCTAAAAGTATTTTTTTTAAAGGCTAATGCAAAGTAATTTTATTAAGATAAAGTCATAAGAAATGCCTATAAAATATCAAATACATCACATAAATCATTGTGTTTTCTATATCTATGGGATTCTCATATGTTATTTCGGGGGAATGGTTTTAAATTGCGTGTATGCATCAATTGTGACGTGATTGTAAATTAGTACAATAAAAACAATAGCATAGCCGCAACAATCTTATCATAACACCACAAATTTCATATCAGGTCCCAAAATTATTTAATGCTCTAAAAAGTTCCTTCCTTTTTATTTATATATAAATGTTTTAAAAGAATTAGTGATATTTAAAATGATTGTAAATTGTTAATGAAATATATATGAAAATTTAGAGAGAAAAAGAAAGTATGAAATCTAAAATAAATAATAAAATGTAATATTTTATTTTCATAAATATAATTTTATGTTGCAACAACAATGACAATAGGCGCAATCATATCTGTAGCCGCAATTGTAATTTAAAATTATGTTCGGAGTTAGTATGATTTAAGATTTGATATTAATATTATTTTAAAAAGAAAATATTAAAATAAAATAAAAGTTATTAGATTAAAATTTAACTGTCTCAAAAATTTACTGATTTAAAAATTAATTAATTTATATGATGTTAATTTTATTTATATAATTATTATTAAAAATATTTTGCTCACTTGAAAATATAAATTATTAATTAAAACTTTTAAATTAAAATAAAATATAAGGTTAAAATTTATATTAAATCTTTAAATCTATTTTTAAAGATAATATATATTTTTTACATATGTTAACGAGCTGACTTATGAACCTAACGATTCAAATTATATATACTTTAAGTTCAAGTCATTTAACTAAAGAATTTGATTTTTCAATTATATTCAGCTTATTAGATTCATAAATTAAGTTTAACAAATTAATTGTCGAATTAAATTCTAAAATATTTTTAAATTGATTCGGTTCATTATCGGCCCGATTATTTATTCATAATTAATTTTAAAATTAGTATTTATTTATGTATTATAACGTTAAATTTGTAATAGTGTTAATTTATGTGTTAATTTAAATGATGTAATATATATAATAGTATTTATTTAAATCATTTATCTATTAAGTATGTAAAATTGTTTTTTTTAAAATTATTATGTAATTATATAAACTTAAATGTTCAACATCTATCTTCCCATTGTATCTCTTTTGTTCTTGAAAAAAAAAGAGAAGGTAATTCGACATCTATCTTTCATTTCTTTATTCATTTTAAAATTAAAGTTTTGGATTTATTTAGTTTACTGAAGATCCCTCCCTCAAACTTACATCTCTCAATTTTTTTTACTACCTGAATTTTGTTTCAAATTTAAAATTTGATTTTCAAATTAGGATTTATTTTATTTAGGGTTTCAATTGGTTTAGGATTTCAATATTATAAATAGAATGTCACTCTTATTGTTAGTCTTAACCCTCTCTTTTGTGTTGTTTGTTATTCTTTTTTGTTGTTGTAATATCTGTTTCTTTTTCTCAACTTTACTATTTTTTGAGATAAAATATGACTTACAACTACATGTCGTAACTTTCATCGAAGAAAGAGAGTTGGAAAATACAAGATAGAGTGGTTCGAATGTGGAGTGTCCCATATTCTAAATGGCTAAACATTTTTGCTAGACTTTGTTGTTGTTGACACTCATGTATTTAACTACTCTAAAAAAAATTTCACTTCAAAATATATTACTCTTTTATTACTATTAAGTAACATACATTTTCACTATTTTTAGGGTGATAGAATTCACGGATTTGTGAAAAAAAACACTACTTTGTAAGTTTGAAAGAACTTTGAAGGAAGGAAGTATGTACTCGTTCCATTTATTTAATGTTGGTGTATCTGGTGGCCATTAACTATAAACCAATTCTTCGTGAGTATAAAATTGCCCCACCAAGAACTTTTAATTTTGTTACATTAGCTAGATTTTACACAAACTTTTTGGTTGGTAAGTGTACCTTAACTATTTTTAAATAATTTTTTTTGTTTTATTTTATATCATTGTTAAGCTTATTAGTTTTTTATAAATAGATGTCATGAGACTTTTAATTGGGATTGGAACATAAAAAGAATACACAAGAGATGCTTTTGGACCAAATTCAATGTAATGTCATGGGTATAAACACTATTTATTCTTATTAATATAATTTTGTTTGTTAATTTTTGTTATAGGTTGGCCAAAAGTTCAATAAGATGAGGCCTATTCATCTCATCCTTTGCATTGAACTCAAAGTATAAATACAATTATAAGAGGGTTTCAGATATACAATCTCTGATCTCCATTTTTATTATATTCTTCTTGAATTTTGAATTGACTTTGGCGTCAGAGTACTAACCATGTAGATCCGCCCGAACCACCATAAAGGAGATTAAAGTCACCGTTCAAAATCGCTATTATCGAGCATCCTTCCTTTCTAGTTCCTTTCTGGAGTTAGATCATCCATTTATAGTTTCCAAACAGAACAATGGCGTCGTCTGTGTGAAACGACTTCCATTTTATACGGTTTTCACGAAAGTCACAATCGCTTCGAAAGCGTCGTTGAACAATTAGAAAAGTCGTAGATCCAAGTTCTGGTGGTTCCTGATCCAGATCTCTGATGTATCAGTTCGTCACCTTCTCAAGTTACCAAGTAAAGAGGGAATCAAATTCAATTCCTGTAATCTCCCAAAAATCGTGGTTGTTTTCCATCATCACCATTCATAGCTCTCCGAGATTTGAAAAATCAGGTGCACTCCAACGTGAGCACGAAGATTCTTCGTAGCCGATTCGGTTAACTACAATATCCGCTTCAATTTTTTTCCATCAAGATCTACGATTTCCCAAAAATTTCTGCAAAACAGCGGAAGAAAGGACTTAAGATCCAGATCTAGGGTTACACCAGGTTTAAAGACGATTTTGATGGAAACCAGGCCGAAACCTCGCAATCCACGATCCAACTTATCAGGGCCCGGGCCTCCCGACGCCACCAGGAGGATCAAAGGGGAAGCTGATGTTAGATATCGCATGTTCGTAGTTAATGTAAACACATGTAGAACTACAACTACTTTTCTTACAGACATTGTCACCACACACCTGGTGAACAAATACAAATTATGAATACAACTTTGAATAATCTTTTCAACTTGGCTTGAATTTCAAGATATAACAATTTTGATATTCTCTTCCTCTTAAAGACAATTCATGAATAAGATGGAAAAAGGTTATTTAAAAATTGAAAAATTCTACTAAAGACAATTTTGATATTCTCTTCCTCTTTTCAACTTGCATAAAAAGTTTTTGTAAAAAAAGTTATGAACACATCGAAACACTAGATGAATTGTTTGAAAAATAAGATGGAAAGAGGTTATTTAAAAATTGAAAAATTCTGCTATTTATAAGTTACAAAATACCTCTAAAAATTAGTAACAACATTTGAGAAAATGATCATGAGAATTTGCAATGTGTTGGAAAGGTATCATAGTCAATTATGATGAAGAGGTATGACATTGACTCAGAACTTTTCCATATGTTATAGAGGAAAATTGATTTAATCAAGGAGGTAAATTGATTTGCCTATCCTTAACGTTCCAAAATTTGAAGAAAATTAACTAAGTTAACTAATTGTTTGGAATGGTAAATCGATTTGCATATGCCAAAATGGAATGGTAAATCGATTTACTCAAGAGGTAAATTGATTGACCTGTTTTGATTTTCAAAATTTCATTTTACAGAACCAATGTAAATCGATTTACTCAAGAGTTAATTTGATTTACTCAAGAGATAAATTAATTGACCTTCTTAAATCTTTGAAAATTTCCGAAGTTAAAGATGCAACTTTGAAACAATGCATGCAAAAATGCTAGGAATGATTTAGATGAAAAAGTATGAGCACCATATACAGAAATTTAATGCCATTGGTACTTATGCAAACCCAAATGCACGACAATGCAAAGTAGTATAATAGATATTGAACCACAAGAGATATGTTTGATTATCGATTTTTACTCTAGCGATGTGTAGCTAAAGCAATTTAAATATTAGGGGCTTAGTGCAAGTAAATAAAATCAATAAAATAAAAAGCTGGACATGAGGTACATGATTATTTATCTCGACATACTTAATTGACACTCCAAATCGAATATGATAAAAAAAAATAGTTATAGAAAATTAGATAAAATTGTACAACATCTACTTTTGGAACGTGTGTACTCTCTCTGATGAATAATTTGTTCGCTTTCGTTAGTTTGTATCATTTGTAACACCTTAAGCCTGAATAATAATTTTAAAAACATTTGCAGAAATATTCATATGATATGAGGGTGTCACAATGACAAAACATTCAGCTTATATTCCAAAGGCGAAATTTTAAATTTCAAAACATAACATATTAATTCATTTTAAAATGAATCATAACTCATAACAAAGTATTCCCAACCTGATGTTACAATATTAGAATGAAATCTGAAATAATACTAATAGCCGATAAGGTCTGGAAAAAAACTTAAAACATAAAACAAACAAACTAAAGAGGCCAACTATGCCATCCTCCACAAAATAACAATTATCACTCTTCAATCTCAACTTGGGAATTATCTGCATAAAGGTACATATGTGGAAATATGGAAACAAGAAGGAATGATAATACATTTCACAAATTAAATGGTGTAAAAACCGTAAGGATTGTCTATAGCACACATCTACTCAAGACACACTACACAACATCATAATACACATGATAATGTAAATAAAATTTTCATCTCTTCTACTCCCATGCAGGTGGTACCATCGCCAAATTTCAGAGTTG